GATGTTGCCGATGGCCATTGAACGCTGGGTCGACAATTGTCGTTGATTTGAAATGTTGGTTTCGCGTACAAGTTGACGAGGGCGCTCCGAGTTCGAACCCTCATCATTTTTCAAAACCTCCAATCTACACTATCCTAGGACAACTAGGATAAGCTGTTGATATGCTGGCTTTCGTAACTCCTGTAAGCTGTACGGAAGCGGTCCACGAAACCATGTTGAAGCTGAATGATCACGGCTGCACTATAGCGACTGCCCGTCTGCAGTGACCATTTCTAGTCGAGTGCTAATTCTGTTAATTCTGTTACCCCTGTTAATTTTCATAGTGGCTGCTGGGACAAATTTGTCCTTACATCACTACAGAGGCTTTTTACCATATAGCGTTCGCAGCACTCACATGATATACCTGTTCGCTGGACAAAAGTTAGGGACAAAGAAGAGCTTATCGTGCAAGCTCCTACTACAGAGTCTTCAATTCGCGTGACACGCTTTTGTTTGTGTAACCTGGCTGCATCTCCCCCGGGTTCGAGCCAGGGTGAGAAGGAACGCGAGGACTGACTTCGTTTCAAACGCCGCATTGTACCCGCAGATCGAAGTAACCCAACGTGCTCTCATTTGTTCCGGAAGCTAATATGTTGTACGTCTGTTCCATCTGAAGCCATTCACTCTTCTGCTTTCCCTATTCAGATGCCCTGATAGCCTGTTCAATGGTTAATCGCGCATGGTTCCGCGCTGCCCGACATCCGGAATTGTACAGAAGGTTGTGTCAACTGCCTGAATGGTCTCCACCGTTGCTCGACAGGCAGTTGTTTCCGTTCGGTTGTGCTGTTGATACTGAAGCAGCTCCGTCTACCGGGCAATCGAGTGACTCAATCGCATCTTTATTGATAAATTCTGGGAACGCTTCGGTTGATGTAAGTAACGCCCATTGGCCTTCATAACGCTGTTTTCCTTCTCTGAGAGACAGGTTTATTGAACTCTCGTATCGCTTATTTTATCCATATTAAGGCCATTTTTTACTCCTCTTCATCAACAGTGGTTTGGGATTTTCCAAAAACGCTCTCGACTGCGCCGGAATTGGTTGCTGGGCCGACATAGGATGCGTCGGTTTACTGGCCATAATGAAGGTAATGGCGTCGGTCTCTTTTGCCCCGTTTCTCAATGCACTAAGAGTCAGGCATGGATTGATTCATATGTCTCACAACACACCTTGGTTTGCCATCCTGGTTGAGCCGCACTTCTACGCTGCTGGTTTTTCGGAAGATGTACTCATCTGACTGCTTTCTTTTACGTTATCGTATTTCACTTGATTTAACTCAACACTACTAACACCACACGAACTGATATCTACTGTTTACCCTGGTATATTCATGTTTGCCATCTGGACGAACTTTAGTCGATAACAAGGTCACTTTCGTCCCACTTCTAGAGTCACTGACCCGGTTAAGAGGAACATACCGAGAGAAGCTCTTTGCAAATCTACACTCACCTTTTGTAACAACCCTTTGTCTTTTGCCGTCTATAAGCTTATATGAACAGCTTTTCTATATGTTTCTCATTACCTGGATCCGTTTGATCATCCCACACAGACCATATGATTCAACGACTGTAGTTGTACTCTAACGTTTTTGGTCATATTGTTGCTTATCATCCGTTACTTCGATCGGCTCACTTGACTTTATCTGTGTGACTTGACCCAACCTAATTCGGTCACCTAAAAAGGAAGTTACACTTTTTTAAACTTACCCGGAGGTTGTTTCGGTGTCCCCGATTTCAAATTCCATTCTTCAACTTATCGGGAGGAGATGCCTCAAGTGGTTAGACCGCGAATTTACT